TTTTATATATTTTATTTATTTATTTAGAATTATATTTTTATGGTGCGATACTTGGCTTTTCTTTGGGAAAGAACAGAATTAGATAGGATTTTTGGAAGTGGCGACAATATGATCTGCTATAGAGCAAAGAAAAAAGATCCTGTTCTATACAAATTCTACGGATACTAAATACCGATAGAATATATTAATACTCAAATATTCTCCATTATTACACATATTAAAACTTACAGTGACCCTTGCCTGTAAGCTCACAGTGTAATAGAAGTCATATAAATAACTGTTCTACTTATTCATTCCAATAATAAGAATTGTAAGATTCAGGATTACAAACAAGTATTGCAATCCTTGGTCACCTGTCCAAAATATTTGTCCCTTTTTCTCTGAAGACAGTTGCCTCAGAGTGGTGTTTCTGGGAAAAGCAAACTTATATTCCTTTTCTGGACCTTAGATGGGACAATATGGATTTCCTCCTGCCATGGAGCTGTCTTATCTTTGCTTGACTCCTCCAATAGTTATTATCTGTATATTATATTGTTTATTGGGCGTGCTGCCAGGGGTCCTTAGGAATTGTAATGATAATATTAATAAACAGGTAATAAACAAATGAATAAATATTGTGAAGAGAGGAGTGCTTTCCTGGCCTCTCCGTGGCAGTGGTGGTTCAACTCCCAGAAGTATGAAACTGATTAATTTTCCTAAATTGGTGAGATTGTGTATTTCCCCCCATCTGCAGATGCCTGGAGTAACTGTAAAAGACGTCAACCAGCAGGAGTTTGTACGGGCCCTTGCAGCCTTTCTCAAAAAGTAAGTTGTGTGAAAAATTAATTAGCACATACAAATTGGACTTTTGATGTAGTGAGTTGTATTTTCCCAAAAGGTAGCACTCTTTTCTGAGTCTATACGAATCTATAAAGCATTCTTGATTAGCATATTTTAATGGTTTTGACAGAAAATAGACTTAAATAAAAGACAGAAATTTTCTTTGCAGTAGTAATATTTCAGGAAATAAAGGTGGGTGTTTAAAACTATGATTCCTGTAACTCCAGGCAGGAAATGAATAAATGACTTAAAAGGACCATATTATTTTGGTTGCTTTAATAATACGATAAATAGTTTGAAGTATATTTCTTCTCACTGGAATCAGCTTTATTAGTGGTTAAAAGTATACTTCCATGCAACTAATCATGCCAGAATGGAGTTGGTGTGCAAATGCGAATTTGTGTCCCATTAAGATGCTGTGGGGTTTGCACCTGTTATTACCAAATAAATTAGTTTTTATAAATTTGATTTGCTAAACAAAAACATTGTTAAGGGATTGTGTAGGAATGTGTCCAATATGGAAATTCTTCCTCAACTCCCAACATGACATATCCTTCCCTTTCCTGCTGCTCAACCACATTGCTACTATCCTAAAGTGACATATCTTATCAGTCAAAAATCTATTCAGTTCCTTCCCTCTGCTCAGCGGCTACTGTCAGTTCTCACTCAGCACAGTATAGTCTATTTATCTCCTCCCCTTCCTCCAATCTTCCTGGTTCCTCTCTTCCTTCCTTCTCCTTAATTGCCTTTGCTGATGTTCCTGGCATTTTCTTGCCCTTTCTCTCCCATCAGCACCTTTCCCCAGAAACAGTTCATGTTTCAGACTAGAAGCTGAAATTGAGTTGTTTCATTTATGTTTCTGGACCAAACACAAATGCTTCATTTAGCTGTTCTATGTATGGAATATTTCATATTTCATGTGTAGAATAGTTCATGGGCAAACTGTTTTGCTCTGCTCTAATATACCGATAACTGCCTTAAGTACTCTCTGGATAATTACATGGGGTACAAATTGCATATATGTGTGTAAATCAATTATTTGAGTGTTTAATAAATAGCAGTAAGATTTATAGTTAAACAGGCATTTAAACCAAAGCATCTATTCTTTTTTTAAAAAAATGGGGGTGCCTAGTGCTGACATTGGTATTTTAGACCACAAAGCATTGTTTATAACTGGGTGTTGATTGGTGAGGGTGGGCAGGTGCCACATAAGTTGAGTAATATCAAATTCTCAAAAATCCCATCTTAAAACAGGACTATTTTCTTCCAGATACTACTTTGTAGCTTTAGTGGATCTGTGCTTCAGCTATTTTCCCTTTGAATTATTTCATGAATATATTTGGATCAATTTAGTTGCCTAAATTTTACGACACTTATTGTATCTCTCTGCAGGCCTTTAAGGCAGAGTCCTCTGCAGTCACTTCCCAGGAAAGAGTTGGCTGCTTGAAAGAGTTATATTGTTGTGTTGGTATCCTGTTTGCTTTGAACCACGAGGAAGCAATTCACAGTCCTCATAACTGATACTTGAATTGTTTTGCAGGTCAGGTAAACTAAAGGTACCTGAATGGGTGGACACAGTCAAACTAGCCAAGCACAAAGAATTGGCTCCATATGATGAAAACTGGTTTTATACCAGAGCTGGTAAGGAATGAAATAATTTCAGTGCTATGCTAATTGTAATTTTTCTATAATGTGTTCTTTTGGTAAGAGGGGCCAAAATGAATATTGTTTTATTGAAATTACCTCTAGGTAGATGTTGCAATGTGCTTCTTGTTGGGCAATTCTGGGAGTTGAAGTCCACAGGTTATAAAGTTGCCCACTCTGCATTAGTACCTATGGATGAAAATAAGTTCATCCTCCTAAGAAGCTTTCAGTGGGAGCGGAAGGACAGTAGAAGAAGAGATGAAAATAGGCAAATGTATTAAACATTCATGGCTTAGGTGATTATCATGCAATAACAGGCCATACTGTAATTCGTTTGGTTTTGACTAAGGGTGGTATGCATATTAGGCATTGCAGATTTTAAAAGAAGGTTTGGTTCTTTAGCATTTTGTATGGGCCTGTGGTAGAGAGTACAAAACTCTGTGAGGGAGATGGTTGTTTTCCAAATTTGATAAATAATACTGCCTTTCTTGTTTTGTATGTGTGAAATTCCCTGTGTTATGTGGGTGGCTATAAATAGAATCAAAATAAACCATGATTGTGGTCAAAATCATGGCCTACTGCAATTTAATACGTCAATTGTCCTATTAAAATGAACCAGTGCTACTCGCATTATTGCCAGGAGAGAGTTGCTGAGGCTATTTGAAGGGTGATGCTCATTTTTGTGTGTTCCAATCTTGATTCCCGATAACTGCCTGGATGAATTCCTGCAATTCTCTGGACAAAATTTTCAGACGTAGTTTGCCATTCTCTCTAAGCCTGAGAGACAGTGTGACTGGCCAAGGTCACTCAGCAGGTTTTGTGCCTAAGACAGGATTAGAACTCGAGATCTCCTGAATTCTAGCCTGGTGCCTTAGTCATTATACCAAACTGGCTTTATAGTGTTATTTTTATTTGTATTAAGCAACAACAATGATTTGCATACTGTTGCTAGAGTTAAGTCTATAGATGATGGGTTTTGAAGAAAATTTGCTGGACAGAATGCTGCAATTCCTACTTTTCTAACCCAGCCCCTGATATCCTTGGAAGTGTCATTTTTGCCTCTGCCTTCTGGTGACACTGCAGGGTTTAAAACAGCTCTTTGAAAGAAGGGTGTGACTTTTGGCACAATAGACAGTCCTCTATATCTGGGTCTCCAACCGTGGCAGCTTTAAGACTTGTGGGCTTCAGTTCTGGAAACTGAAGTCCACAAGTCTTAAAGTTGCCAAGGTTGGAGACCCCTGCTCTATGTCACAACTGCCCTGTTTAGACCCTGGTCTGTGCGTGTCCTGGGGAGGGACATACAATGAAAAGAACAGAAACCTTTCTCATTTCCCCAGGAAATAACCACCAGCAGCACAAGATACACATGAAGTAATGGCTGCAGCTTTACTATAAACTCTATGGTTTGCTAGCAATTGGAGACTTTGCTAATGTTATCAATCAAGAAGATAATTGACTTCTCTGCCCATAATTATAAAGCATTTATATCTTGGGGACCAATCAGAAGCACAGATGCTTTGTGGCCCAGCTCTTCAATATGACGTCTCAATAAAAGCCTCAGTTAATTCGAAAATATCTTTTGTGGCTTGTTTTTCCGTCGGCCCTCTAATCTATTACAAATCGCCGCTTGATGCTTTGGACAATCACCGTCCATGTCGGGTGGGCAGCGCTCCTGGCCAGTATGGAAATCATTTTTTCCAAACAGGCCTTAAACCCTTTTGCATTTGATTTGCCTGCCTATAAAACAGCGGATGCACGCAACCACTTGGCTGTCTACCAACAATCTGTTCCGTCTTGGGCTGCCTCCCATCTCGCCCTGCCTGCGCAAGATGGCTTCATTCGTGACTTCAGATGGTTGGAGAGCCCTGGAGATGCTCTTCGTGCAGAGCTTGATCTATTATTTCACAGGGAGCTAAAAGGCCCTTCTCGCATCTGTTTGCATTCACAGTAAATGACAGCTAACCAGCATTCTTGGCTTCTTCAAATGGGCCTCTGCTGCGGGAAGAGTTTTGTAGATGCCCTGCAGTCCGAACCCTGCTTTCCCCCCTTCCGTGGTTGCTGTCAGGGTGGCTGTTCAGCCTGGTTAACTTGCTCTTGTCAACTAGTGAAATGTAAGGAAGGGGGAAGCAGGTTTCTGACTTGCAGGATTATAGCCTCAGGGTTTCTCCTTTTGTCTGGGCCTGTGGAGTAGCCTCAAAGGAGAAGGCAGGCGCAGAAAAGCTGCCCGCTGACGAAATAACAGCTACTCTTGTTTCTGCAGAACTCCATTCCAGGTGAAAGTGGAGGGTTTTAATGCAGTTTGCTTGTTTGTCTCCGAGCGATGTCGTGCTGACACTTCTTCAGTTGGAGGCGGCATTGGGCTGAAAGCAGTTGAAGGCGCTGGGCTTGCTCATTTTAATTACTTTCATTGGGGCCTTTCATTGAAGGAGAGTAATTTACATGGGCACGCAACATCTTGGCGTAAATTGAAAGTTCTTGTCTTTAGCAGTATGAGAAGATGGGCCTGGCTGTTTTGAAGAGGTTGTTTTGGCACGGCGTGGCTCACGTTAATAGATTGCTCAGGGTCATTTTGGGGGGTGGGGAGGAACCCTAAAAAACAAAGAAAAAGGCACTTGCAAACCACTTGAGAACCACTGTACTCACAAACAGCCAAGCTTGGTTCTTTAAGGCAGGGGTCTCCAACTGTGGCAACTTTAAGACTTGAGGACTTCAACTGCCAGAACTCTGGGAGTTGAGGTCCACAATTCTTAAAGTTGCCAAGGTTGGAGACCCCTGCTTTAAGGAAGAGGTAAGATACTTCCGAGTCCTACGAAAAGTTTGGAAACGGTTCCGTCTTTCTCATGTCGGAAGGTTGCGGTTGAAGTGACCAGTTAGAAGAAGTGTCATAAAATGATGGTTTCTTTTGTTTGCAGCATCCACAGCCCGCCATCTTTATCTTCGGGGTGGTGCTGGAGTCGGATCCATGACCAAGATCTATGGGGGGCGCCAGCGCAACGGTGTGATGCCCAGTCACTTCAGCCGGGGTTCCAAAAGTGTTGCCAGGAGGGTGCTCCAGGCTTTGGAAGGGCTCAAAATGGTGGAGAAGGACCAGGATGGGTGAGTTCCTACCAGATGCAGAGAACGTGGAAGCCTAAGGAAATACACAGGTGTTGTAGCAGGCTCACAAAAGCACAATTGTGGACAACGCATTGGATACCATCTGTGGGAAATCTGTTTACAAAGACCATACTGGAAGCTCTGTGTTCAGAGACAATGTGACTTGGAATAGACGGTTATAGAAGTCTTTTGTCTCTGTGGCCTACATGAGAACTTCCAAAGATTGTCCAAACAATATTAGAATATTATGGCCAAGTCCAGCCCTATGACATGAGTATGTTTTCCTGTGTAGTAGACTGTCTTATTGGATACTGATACTATTGCATTGCCTGTGTGGGTATCTTTGGACAATAGTTTTTATTCAAATAGGCTCCATCTTAATGAAGAGGGGGAAAGATTGCTGTGGGATTCTGGTACTTCTGTATTGTTGAATTGTAGCTTCCTATGTTCTTCAATGGCTAGCATTGCTGAAGGTTACAATTAAGCAACATCTACATGTCCCACATTTTCCCCAAGTAGTGTTAAAGACTTGGGAAACTTCCAGAAATTCATACAGGTGATGTGAAAAAACAGTGCTCCTTGAAGAATGATTTTAATTTAGGGTTGCACGGAAATGGCGATGCGAAGACAAATAGCATGTTTTGCACACAAAAAAAACTTCATGTGATAATACATCAGCTTCAAGATGTTCTTAGAGGATGTGGGATGCAAGACCACATGTGTTGAATCACATCTTCTCTTTTGAATTGAGAACTTTGCACTGCTACATTGCTTGTAACTGAAATTAGTTTAGTTTAGTTTACTTTATTTGTATGCCGCCCTTTTCCCTGAGGGGACTCAGGGCGGCTCACAATTCAGGGGGAGGGAAGGACAAACAAGTTACAGACATGAAGGCAATACATAGTTTAAAAAGCGCAACAGTCATACTATTCGAGTGGGGTTAAAGTCTTTAGCCCCAGGCCTGTCGGGACAGCCGAGGAATGATCAGTGAGTGTTAGTAGTTTTAATTTTAGAAGAGGCTGATCTTTCTCACTGGTTTCTTTCAGGGGTCGCAAGCTTACTCCTCAGGGACAGAGGGACCTGGACAGGATTGCTGGACAGGTAAAATCTACAATTGCATAAGGAGAAATTTGACAAGGATGGTTACTGCATCAGACCATTAATGCTAGAACCTTCTTGCCCCTTAATGCAGATTTAGAAGTGACAACGGCTTTCTTGTGGCATTTCAAATGGCCATCCGGAAATTTAAACAAGCCATTTTTCTTTTCTCCCTCCTTAAAATCACAAATAGCCTAATCATTCATGGACAGTCTGTATAAAAGATATCTATTCTTTGCAGAGAATGGACTTGATGGCGCATTCTCATTAACGACAATTATGCATTGATCGTATTCTACAAATGACTTCATTATGTAAATAATGTGAATTGTCATGGGTGAATACTCTCCAATTTAAGGGGCATTCATTAATAAAGCATGCCTCCCGTTAATCTTTTAAAATGAGTTTTCACTTATATTAGAAGTACTGTTAGGTTAAATCAGTTGCGTTCGATGTGGTAAATTTTAACTTAGGAAATCCTGCATTTAGGCACAGGTGTTGGGAGATTGTTTTTAAAAAGTGAGGGGGGAAAATGGACACAACAAGAAAAAACAGCAAAGGGAAAAAGCGCAAAAACAACACTAGAATTGCATGAAGGCTCCTGATACATGTGCCCACCTGTAAATTGTTACACTGCACTGTTAGTAGAGGATGGCCATGTTTCATTGTAATCACCCATACATAAATCTGTTGTCTTAAAGCAACTCATTCATATGTTGCAAGAGACATCAGGCCTTCAGTCCTTTAAATAACAGGCAGTGGGTCTGGTTTAATGAAAAGAAGGACTAAGGGGTGACATGATAGTGTTCCAATGTCTATCAGGCTGTCACAAAGAAGAGAGGGTCAATCTATTCTCCAAAGCACCTGAGGGCAGGACAAGAAGAAGATGGAAACTAATTAAAGAGAGAAGCAACTTAGAACTGAGGAGAAATTTCCTGACAGTGAGAATAATTAATCAGTGGAACACCTTGCCTCCAGAGGTTGTGAATGCTGCAAAACTGGAGGTTTTTAAGAAGTGATTGGACAACCACTTGTCTGAAATGATACAAGGTTTCCTGCTTGAGCAGAGGGTTGGACTAGAAGACCTCCAAGGTCCCTCCCAACTCTGTTCTTACTCTGTTATTGTGATGGTCTAATGTAAACTTGATCATTACATACATGCACCTAATACAGATACATAAAAGTTTCAGATTTTGCATCATGACAAAAATTTGCTTTTAACCCTTGACCTGTTTTCTTCCTCTTTCCTTACCGCAACGCTACACTCTTTTGTATATTGCAGGATGGGGTGAAACAGATCCCTGTACTTTTGATTTAGATGAGGCAGGAGAAGAGGAAGAATTCTCGAAATTAACCTTGTTACATTTTCTCATTCACCTTGATTTAAAGCAGGGACTTCAGCTACTTGACTATTCATCAGGTTTTGGGGTATATACATTCTATATACACCAAAGATATATATTCCATCAGATAGGATGACTGGAACTCACAGGAAGTAAAAAAATCAATAACCCTTGAAAGGCAGCAGATTGCCTCCCCCCCCTCCCCCAAGGAAAGATCTTTACTTCCTAAAGAATTGGACAGCCTTGCTTTTAAAGCTTTGCAAGCAAAAGCAAAATAGATAATAAATGAGAGTTGGAATCAGCAACTTGCAGGAGTATTTCCGAGCAGCCTTTTTGCTGGGGCCTAAATGAACCCCTGAAGACCCCACTCTATGAATCTCATTAGGAAGAGCTGCATATTGCATCACCGTTTTGCTCTTAAAACTTGTGCTTGATCATTTACACACACCCCATAAAACTGTCTTTAACAGCCCCATCGCCGTTCAACAAAGTACTGAGGTGGTTGCCCGTTAACCAGCTCTGTGTACTGTACTACGTACTGTTGGCGAGTTATTTGTTAACAAATTATTCCCTTTACGATTGCACGGAGCCCGTCCAACAAAAACCAGAATTGAGATCGTGCATCTCGCGCGCTTAGCAGGTTTTTCTCACTGCTAACCGTTGAGATGAAATGTGAATCCAGTCAAACATCTTGGCCCTTTCTTGATCACTCCTGAAAATACCTATAGCAGCACATTAAAATAAAATCTATTGTGCGTTCCTTTAGTGGACATGGTAAATATGCATTTGCAGGAAAGAAAAGATGCTGATGCGTCATAAGAAAGCTTGCCTTCTCCAGTAAGAAGTAACATAAAATTTCACAAGTGACTCCAAGGTTGACATGAGACCAACATCAAGTAAATAATACTCCAATCGTGGAATTGCCAAACAAATCAGTGGTAAACAGCTCAACCAAAGAACCTTTAAGGCCAAACACATCAACACTGCAGGGCAAGCCACTAGAATTTAACAGATTGACAGAGTTGGAAGGGACCTTGCAGGTCATCTAGCCCAACCCCCTGCCCAAGCAGAAGTCCCTACATCTGTCTCTACGTAGGGAGAGCTCCACCTCTAGGCCACAGCAGCAGGCTCTATATAAACAGACCAAACCCCACTCCTTACTAGCACTGATGATGTTACCTAGTTTGGGTAATGAAACGCCTGCAAGGAAACAACTAAGCTCAGAGAGCACCAAGGACCCCCTTCCAACACAAAGCCGGGATTTAGTTGGTTCAATCAAGAGCACGATTCAAATTCTTGCTTTGAAATAGGTGTCAGTTCAGTCAAATATGTAACCAGTGTGCATAGTTAGACTCTTTTCCCCCCTCTCTTGATAAATTGTGCTGGATGCTTGGTGGGTGATGACTATGAGTTAAGGTGGTGTTAGCCTGTGACAGGACATTTTTCTATTTTCCCACCAGTAAATTGCCTGAAATGCAGTGTTTGTGACCTTTTTGTCAAACTCTTAATCAAAAGGAAGGAGACAGAAAAACCAGATTGGAATTAAAGCATTCATCCTATATAGGTGGATGGTATTTGAATTAAGGTGGTGTTCTTAGCGGTGGAAATGGGCCTTTGAATACTGGGGAGTTGTGCACGTGTTTTTATATTTGTTCATAAATCATTTGAATATGTAAATACATTTAGAATAGCTTTTTTCTCCTTTCCTAGGTGGCAGCTGCGAACAAGAAACATTAAAATGGAGTTCAGTTCAATAAAGTTCTTTATTTACTGAAGCTGCGTGGTTTTTTTGTTTTTTGCGAAAGACTATCCTCATCCCTTACTAGCCCTATCATTTTTTATATTATTAAGGTGTAATTATAAACGGCCTTCCTCTATTCACATATTTGTTTGGCATCACAAGGAAAAGAAACTTCGAATTCAGACTAGATGTTGTTAGCTATGAATCCTCTGTATTTACACAAACAATTGTAGCTTTTTTTATGTGAGCGTTTTAGTGCTCTTTTTAAAATAATTGCCTCCTTGGTAACCTGTGAGCTGAGTACACTTCTGTGCTGCAAACTTTAATTGGTAGATTAACAGATAAATTGTTTGCCAGGCGGTCTTAACTGGAGAGGGCAAAATCTAATTGAAACTCTCTGGCTTAAAAGATTTCTGTTTTTTAAGGGCTACTTTCAGAAAGGCCTGGNGGGTCAGACACTACTTCACAACTAACAACAACAAAATTCAAGTCATCTGCTAGATAAATTGCTCAGTTTCTCTCCCCCCTGGACTCTAATGTTAAGGCAAATTCCATGGAAATGACCAAAGTACACTGGTTATAACTGGGGCAATATTGATCACGTCCGCCCCGGTGAAGTGGAGAGGGTTCAGTCACCTGTGTGTTGATCCTTGTTCTTCCTTCTGGTTAACTAAGGGTATTCTAGGAGACAATCTGTGGTTGGATCCTGGTGGTTGTGGATTCATCCTTGAAAGAGGGAGGGTGTCCCTGCTCCTTTCTCATAGACTCTGGTCTACCCATTCCCCAAGAAGCCATCTATATCAACTATTTTGGATAATCTTTGTGCCATCTCCAATCTTTACTTCTTAGAGAGTTTGTTGAGAATGTGGTTGTGTTACAGTCTCAGGGAATCCTGGACATTCTCTTCAGCTAGGTCTCATGCTTAGGTACGCAACTGAAACAGTATCCATTTGTGGATGACCTCTCGCAGAGGCTGGACAGGAGAAATTGAGCAGATGACCCATTGTCTGTGGGGTCCATCAGGACTTAACATTCTCCACTGTCCTATTTAATATCTACAGAACATGAAGGACATTCTAGTAGGCATAGTCATACAACTTAATTTTGTGTGTCAGTTACATTCCTTCCTGGACTGAGATGCACTGCTCATCATCCCTCACATCTTAGTTACTTCCCATTTGCAATGTTCTCTATATGGGTCTGCCCTTGAATACTTTATATGGAGCTGAAAGCTTTCCACAAAGTATTAAACCTGGAGGTGCTCCAGAGTATGGGAGTTATAAGATTATTTCGCCTGTTCATTGTTGTGGTATTGCTGATGGCTTTTTATGTGTTGTTGATATTCTTTTTTATTCTAATGTGTTGTGAGCTGACCAGAGTTGCAATTGTAAGGTGGGCGGCCAATAAATAGCTTTAATTAATAAATAAAAGGAATAGTTGGGTTATTTGGTTAAGAGCCGAGGTGGCGCAGTGGGTAGAGTGCAGTACTGCAGGCCACTTCAGCTGACTGTTAGCTGCAGTTCGGCGGTTCAAATCTCACCGGCTCAGGG